TTTCTAAGACTATCCATATATAAAAATTTAATTTCTCATTATCGTTTTCATCTTAGGTCTCAATTGCTGTAATATGGCTTTTAAGCTCTTGACAGATGTAATTTTCTCAGCAACTATGAGACTGCTTTAAATATGAGTTTTTTAGTCCACTACTTTGAACATATTAATGCCCTTCTATCACTGCTGTCTTGGTTCCTCTCTTCCCCATCACATCAAACAAATAGATTTAATTTTTAACCTACTGACATATTAATTATCTTCTCATCTTCTAATGACTACTCAGACATTGAATACCATTTCTGTTCAATTCATGATACTACCCCATCCATGTATTTTTTTTCTAAGAGTCCTTCCATACTACCTTCACATTCAAAAGGTGCCTCATTATTTTATTTTCAAGCAGCATCTAAAGACTCATCCTATTTGAGATGCCAAAACCACAACAATATTTAAAAATCATTACTATAGAGGGACTACTGCTTATTAGAAAAGTTTTATATATCCCACAGATTTATCTGTTATTTTAACTTCTTTAAGTTAACTGGCCCTAGATTGGGACTATCCTTTTTGTTCTTTGCGTGTGCTGACATAGTAAATATCATGGTGTATCCTTCTGGATCTTCGTTAGAGGCAGTGTAATAGCAGCAATATTAGCAGATTATTGTTAGAACATAGTGTAGTTTGAAAAGCACAATTGGAGATTTGAGCCCTCTCCCTTTCCCTTTCTTAGTTAACACCTTATGAAAAACAAATGCTTTCATCCAGCTGAGCAGAGTCATTAGAGGTAACTTTTACTATATATCTATTCTATTTATTACACATATTTTTCTGGACACTGGCTTCCATATTGAAGTATCTGAAGACCTTGGTAACTTTTGCTTTTTAATATAAAGCACACACATCTACCTACATGAATCTACTTACATCTGCTACGAAATCTTTCATCTAATTGATGCTCCTCAGATGAGTGAGGATGATTCACATTAGCAAGACTTGAAAAACTGAACATGTAATTCATGAGAACTATTGAACATAGGAATTTTTATGCTGTATATCTCAAATGTTAATAATCACAATTTGGGCCACTGAAAACTACAGAACTCATGAGTCATGTTGCTGTTCAAGTAACTACATACTTGCTTAAATAATAGTAACTACCACCTTCATTTTTTGGTGGGAGGTGTCTATATTCAAAAATCAGACCTAACAAATAGGAATTTACATTTTAAAATATTTTTTATTGTTTTCAAAAATAAATAAATGTTGAATTGCCATGCAATTAGCTTTTAAATTAACCTCTAAATTGAATTAGATTTACTGTATCACTTCTGCAGCGAGTCCAGTTCACCAAAAGTACCAGAACACAATGTGATCATGAATACAAATGCAGGGTATATTAAACATCTCACATAATAGTATTTTATGACAGACTGCAGTAATGGACTACAAAATGCCCATTCTCTAAATGCATTAATTACAAAGTTCTATAGAAATGATGTTTTTAGCACCAATGTATATTATCTCAACCTTTGCATGACTCTGTTCTACTTTTAAACATTATTTCTGAATCATACAAGGGAATTATCATTCTGCAATATGCATTCACGTTTAACTGCAGATCTAGTGAACTAATTTAGTAAAGGCTAAATAATTATACAGCTCCAATAAAAATAAAGCAATCTGTTTATATTTCCTTTAGGAAGGAAATCCTTAGAAATTATAACACTTACCAAAACAACACCAACAATATTTCTGCTTGTGCTTTCTTTCTGTTTGTTAATCTAAAATGTAATTTTAAGTGGTTTAATGTCCAAGGCAGACATTTAAGGTTTCTCCCTTCTTTTTAAGCTGTCTCACAAAATATCCAAAATTGCCTGCCCAAAACAATATTTGTTCCATCTCCTCTAATTACTCTTTTTTAACTTATTTTTTAACATAACCTTGCCTATTACTGGATCATATTCTGCTCTGCTGTAAGAAGCAAGTCCAGCAACATGAACATGTGTTTTCATTAATTAATTAGTGCAAGGATAAATCTATCTCTTCAATACAACCCTGAGAAGGATGCTGAAAAAAATGGATCAAATTGCATTTCTCTGTGAAACATCATATCAAATGTCACCCATTTATTTGTGTGCTCATCTTCTGTTGTTAGCCCATTGGTTAATTTAATTATGTTTTAAGTTTTATTTCTCTATTAAAATTCTATGTGTTTCCAGGACTGGGTTCTTAAAATTGACTTAACTAATAGTTGCTGAAATGTACAAAGCAACTCTGGAATATCTGGAAAAATGTACTGGAGTAGTCACTTACCATAGCAAATTTTATTCCTTCAATGTACTACCTCCAAAGAGGCCCCCATTGGGATTATCTTCCCTGCCATAAAGCGGCAGAAACCATGGAAGATGGTACATACTAAATGGAAGACTCACATCTATTCCAATGTTCTGGAAGAACATGTAGAAAATTCTGTTTCTTAACTCCCTAAGCATTGTAACATTCCACAAATAGCTGAGGTAAAAGGAAACCTCAGGAGCTGGTGTAAATCTGCATGGATAATTTAGTTGAGAAAAAGTTACTTTGGTAGATAGCAACCTTTTTATCTCCTCGACACTGCCTACACAGGTCTAATCTGTAACAGACTAGTAGGGACAATTCTGAGGATATGGACTGAAACAGACTACTAGCTGCAGAGACAGTGAACAGCTCCTGTCCAAGTATTTTATCTAATGTAATGCAGGAGGTTTTGCTTGCTTCAGAACTTTTTACTGCATTCACTGCTTCAATGAAGATGTTGTAAAGTACCTTTATATTGAAACGGTCTAACCCTTAGCCTTTTACAAAACCTGTTCAAAAAATTACCTTAAAAAAGGCTTCTGTGTAGTTAAGCAAACGATCCAGAACCTGGCCAAACCAGAACCTGCTTGAACTAGAGCAGCTGTTAAATATGGCCCATACTGTTATAGTCATTAATGTGGGAGTGAAGTGAGGACATATTAAGACTGATCACCCTTAACCAAATACACAGATTACTGCAATATTGAGGGCTCCTTTTATATTCTTTAACTACATGAGGAATATTAAGTGTAATTAATACTAAGAAAGGTACTACTGTGTCCCTCCAAAGAGATGTGAAACCTTTTGAGTGTCAGTAATTTGATTCTAGGAATGTAATATAACTTGTTATTTGAGTAGGCTACTCCATAAAATCTTTTTGTATCCTGTATTGTCAAGAATTAAAAAGGTCATTTCTATAAAAAAATAAAGATAGAGTTAAGAATAAGACAAGCATTTTTATAAGCTATCGAAGAAGAAACCTTAATCTATTTCCCTCCCTGCTCCAAAAAAAAGAAAGAGAGAAAATCTGCCTAAGTAATGAAGACAATGGCATGGCATTATCTTTTGGTTCTTCAGTTTGCATCTACTTCACATGTAGCTTGGCCAAACATCATTGTCACCCACTGAAACCTTCTCCGTTTTTTCTGTTTTTCACAGAATGTGAATAGTTGTTCTTCAAACTGGAGCATGATTCTGCTGTCCACAGATAGGTGTCTAATGATGATTCAGATGTACTGTGGTATCCCACTTGGCCTCCAGCAGCAGTTCCCGAGTCTCTTCTAAGTTGTGTCACATCTGACATCTTCTATAGATATTTTGGCTACCTTTGGGCATCTCAAATTGTACTAGTTGCTGGCTTGCAGGGAATGGCCATGCCCTTGCTGTTAAACTGTTATTGTCAGGGACTGTCACTGCAAACAGTTTATAATGATATAACCCTTGCTAGGAAAATGATATAATTGCCGTGGATATACAGGCAATACAGACTTTTAATAGATTAAAAAAAGCCAAAATGATCAAACAGAATCTCATGCTGAGCCACCAAGCTACCCAATAAAGTCTATGTAGAAACAGAGTCTACCACCTTCAATTTCTGGAGGCTTTTATAAATCCACAACTTTTTTAACTCATAGAAGCTCTACCCAGAAGTTCCATCCAGGAGAGCTCATCAAAAATTCCCTTTGCAGATTCATTACGGAAAAACTTGAAGTCACGACTGGCTCTGAAAGTACTTGCACCTAATCTGAACAGCTATAAGCAAATTCCAGCTATCCTACATCCAAGGAATGCTTATCATTGACACACAACTGCTGTTGCCATCCAAGCATGTCTTTTCTATTAATGTCCTATCAAACTCAGGTGCAGAAAAATGATCCGAGTGCTTTGGCTCTCAGGAGTTTCATCATCTCTGAGCTCATAAGATCAAAACCAAAAGAATGCTACAATTATCTTATTAAATGTGTTCCTCAGATGTATGAAATACAGTTTCTAGGTTGGAATTTTAAGTCTCTAAAGAATTCTAATATCCAAAGTGGTTTTAAGGTTTCCCTAACAGATCTCATCTGAGTTTCCCATCCCCTCTCCCTGAACATGCTATCACTATTGTATTGTAACTTCCAGCTGCATGCTGTGATGCTGATAAAAGGGAGCTGTGAAAAACATTACTGCACATTTCAGCTTCTGAATCAACTATCAGTGGACAAATATTAAACACCATTCTGCTACTCTGGATTGAGCCAGGACAGAAAAGTCACCTCCTTTTATATTTGTGTACCCCATGCCTGAAGAATGAATGAAATCAACCTTTGACTCAGTCTTTACTGAACTATAAAAATGTTTTTAAGGTTTAGAAAGAGAAACAGGGAGATCCAAGTTTTTCTGCAGTGTCTCAGTATGACTTATCTAATTACAGGGTTTAGCAACCTCTGAAGACTATTCCTCTGGCAAGACAAAAGCTAGAACATACCAGAATCAAATGACTGCATGTTTTAGTATGTAACTGCTCTTAAAACCTAACTCAAGTGGATGCAGGTGCGAACTGGTGAAGTATATATGGTTTTCCTCTGCATTTTCCAAAAACTTAGAAACAAAAGCTAGTACTATTTTGTGTTTTTTAAAAAATACTGCAAAGGCATATTCTTAAAAACAAACAAATGAATTACCTGGCAAGGCTTCTTCATTTTAATTGCTATAACATGGTATCTGTAGCAGCAGAGTTCACAGGTCCACGACCCTCTTTCACTTATCCACTTTAACAGGCAAAGTTGATGTGTGTACCGTACCGACCCATCGCAGCGGCAAGGATTTAACAGCTCGCCCTGAAAAGGCAACACAACAGCATTAATTTTTCAGAAATATTTCATGTGTATGTATATTCAATACCAAAACATTTGCAGGTGTGGAAGCTACAAACCTGGAATCGACTGCAATCCATGAAATACTGAACATGCATTTTTGGCTATAATAATGCTCAAAAACTAAACTGCCTCGGAAGAGATGCGAGGGCTCCTAGTGATAGGAAGCCAGGTAACTCTCTATGCAGGCGTGTGCACGGACGTGAGGAGAAGCTTCCCCCGGCAGCCCCCGTGCTCCTTGCTCACCCCGCGGGGCGCTGCGGCGGCGCCGAGCCCTGTCCCTGGTGCTGACCGCCCGCCCCTCCCCGCCTCACCTGCTCGGGGCCCTGGAAGCAGATCTTGCAGATGGGGCCGGCCCCGCCGGGCTGGCTGCCGCTGCCGCTCTCGCTGCTGCACACCGAGCGGGTCTCGGGCTTGTCGCCCTGGGCGCCGCCGGGGCTGTCCGGCTCGGAGGGGGGCTCGCCGCTCGCCTCCCCGGCCCCGCTCCCAGCCCCGGCCCCGGCTGCGGGCGGCGGCTCCTGCGGGGCGCTGTGCCCGCGGGGCGGCTCGGCGGGGCGGGGGGCGCCGCTCATGGGGGCGAGAGGAGGAGGCAGGGAGAGCGGCGAGGCCGCCAAGGTGACCCCCTGCCGCCGGCGTGTGCGGGCGTGCAAGGGGCGGGCGGCGGTGTGCCCGGGCGTGCAAGGCAGGCAGCGCGGGGCGGCGGGCGGGCAGGGCTGGAGGAGCCGCTCCGCCGCCCCCCAGCGCCCGCAGACCGTTACCGGGGGGGCCGAGCCAACCGCCGCAACCGCCGCAACCGCCGCGGCACCGCCCCCGCCCGCCGCCCTCAGCACCAGCCGCCACCACAGCCCCTCATGGCCGCCCCCCCTCCCCTCCTGCTCTCCCCGCCGCCCTGTGGCGAGCTGGCCGCCCGCCGTGGTCGCCCTCGTGTCGCGGGACGAGCCCGTGGCCAGCGGCCTGGGCTGGGCAGAGCTGGGGAGCGCTCAACAGTTGGCGGCGGGGTTCGCCTCATCCTCCCTAGCTGCCTGTTTTGTGCTTTTTTTTTCCTTAATTCTTTCCCAAATTCATTACATCACCTCCTCGTTTCCAAAATTAAAGATGCTAAAAGTGTCGCGATCAAATACCTCATAAAAAAAGAAAAAAAAGAAAAAAAGGGGGAGTTTTTTTGGGGGGAGAGGGAAACAACAACCACACTGGGTAGAAATTCTTCCAACTTCAGCTGTGGGGGGGGTGGGAGGGGGTTGCTGAGGGAAAGCATGTGTGAGTTTCCACAGCAAACCTAACACCAGCGAGCGAGCAGTGTCAGCTCGTCGGGAAAAGCAGCATCTGGCTGCGTGGGGAAAGAAAAACCCCGCCGAAGACAATTGTGGAGCCATATGCTCTCCTGCAGCCGCATCGGGGCTCCACGGGTGCTGAGCTCACCGGGCCTCACAGCCCTCGCTGGCTGCTCCAGATTTACTGAGCAGCCCTAGGGTTTTGCCAGCAGCGGGTTTCTTGGTGTGGATGTTTCATTAGGAGGCCGAAGCTGTGCTCTGAGCCAAAATGGCACTCCTAGCTCGGTGATGGTCAGACCTTCTGGAGAGGCTTGCTGCGTATGCACCAGCCGCTGGTCCAGCCTTCTGGCCCGGCTGGGGAACAGTTCGGGCAAAATGTGGTCTGCAGGGACCATGCAGTTGAGTGTTGCGGGTGAGTGGGATGCAAACTGACTGGGGCCGGCCACAGCTAAAGCCCTCTCAGTCCTCCTACAGACCGTGTCTGCGACGGAGGCCGTGTGATTGACACTGATGCCAAAGAACAAGACACCTGTTTACAGCTTTGCTCTAAAAAAAGACACATATGCAGAGGCTGCCTTTGTGAAAATAAATAAATAAATAAATAAAACCAGGTATCATTATAGCTTTTCTTGTCATCCACTCATTCCTATCCTCATGAAAATGGTTGTTCTGACGGCTCTGTGTTAGCTAAGCCAACGCTGGCCATTTATCTTGGGCTAGGGCAAGGTACCCCAGCCCTTAAATTGCTTTTGTTCCAAGGTGGTTGTTAAGTAGGTAAGTAATGTGGCTTTGTCCAGATCTGGTGACGTAAAAGGAAAATATTGCATTGATGGTGACATTTTGATGAACTGCGGACGCTGTGGAGGTAGGAACTTCTACATTTAATTTTCTCACAGCCAAGTCATACCTGAGGAGGTTGCCAGAGAGACTAAAGGGCGATGGAGACAGTGTTAACCAAATTGATTAATTCTGAAGAAAGAAGGGGCAATCACAAACAGTGGAGAAACAGGAAATCTCAGAACAAACAGATGAGTCCGGAGTGCTCAGTAAAAGAGAAGCAGGAGGAAAAGACAGGGAAACTAAGGTAATGAGAAATGAATGCTAAAAAGTTACTCATCTGCATGAGAGAAAAATAGCATGCCCTTGCTATTTGTTATATGCGGGGTTTTATACCATTTTTTTTCCCTTTGTGTCATGACAAATTCAGTAAATAACACAGCTTTTGAAAAGGATGTAAAGAGAAGATAAAAATGTCAGTGCAGAAATGGAATGACTTCTTAATGTCAGAATAAGAAAGAAAGATCTGGCTATAGAGAATAATACACTGTGTTAAGAAGGTCAGTCTTTCCTACTTAATCTTGCCCAAAATATGTGTGCAAAGTGACTCTTAAAGTAAAAGGGAAAACATCCAATATGAATTGGAAGAACAATTCTTTCACATATATGTAATTAATTTGGAGAGTTGATGGTGAGTAGGTATTTCATAGACGTGAGCTTTAATACATCACCTGTTTGCCTGCCTTTCAACAGCTACTGTTACACCAGCTAAAATAAAATTGCAGAGGCTATTGATCCCCATGTTTCAGAGTATATTAGCATTATTCAGCATGCCAGGGGTGGGAGGAGATGCCAACAAAAGAGCAGAAGGGGTGAAGAACATTATATAACACATCCTCCAACCAAAGTAACATTCAGCCTTCTGCTGAGTGAGAGATGGGGACAAGAGCCAAAAACAACGCTTGAAACAGAAAGAAGAAAAATTTAAGCAGAAAAGGGTGTTCAGCTCCATAACAGCAGTAGTGTAGGTGGCTGGGAGAAGGAGGAAAAGAAGCTGAAAACAGGAAGAATTAATTTGTGATTAAGACAGTGAACTGCATCTCACAGGGGTTTATGCACAAGCACAGCTTTGCCACACGCTCCTTGAGCAGCCTGGAGCAAGTGACCTCAGGTGGGCACCACTGGCAGCCCGCAGCATGCCCTGCCTGCTGGGCACCTCTCGTGGGGGCAGCAGGACGCCTCCGCTGGCACCAGATCCCTGCGTGTCGGCGTGTCGCCCTTGGTCTCTCGCTGTCCTGTTCTGCGCACATGACCAAAGCAGTGCCTGTGCCCTCTGAGCTCTTTCCCGCCTCTTCCATTACAACCTTGTAATATTTTACTGGCAGAATCGGGCTGCGTTTGTACAGTCTTGATCTTGGCTGAAGTATCCAAGAGTTATAGCAACACAAATAATAAGGAACAATAACATGGTTAAAAATAACGGCGAAGCAATAAGACCGGGGGACAGTGAAATTAATTGCTTTTTCAGCAGGCAATGGAAAAGGCAGAAATACAGTCCCCAAGGGAATGAAAATTGTCTCTTCTCTCTCTTGGTTGCACAGGAATAATGGATACAGGTAACAAACTACTTGAAGATATTATATGGGAAGCACTGTGCTACTGCACAATTAGAAACCAACTCCTGTTTTTCCTTTTTCTCAAAAAATCCCTGATACATCAGCCTGTACTGTAAATACAGTAACAGAACAGCTCTTTAATGGGTTTGTTCCATTTTGCTACTTCCTGCATCTCTAAAGGAAACAATACAATATAGTTTTGAAATATTAACAAAGGAGTAAAGAGAGCAATTGCCGGTATATTAGATGTGAAACAAAATTCCGACAAGATAGGAAATTAAATCTATTTAAATACTCATACAGAACCATTACAATACCATTTACTAAATAGCACTGTTTCAGAGTAAAGTTCTCCACAGGTGTTGGACATCACCTGTAACAAAAATGAAGCATTTTGACTGTAAGCAAATGCTTCAGTTTAATTTGAAATGTGCTTTACATGTTTCAATCAAGATATAATGTGCTTCTGAGTAATATTCCCATCTGTTAAACTTCCATGGTCCGCTTTACAACACTAAAATATCTGTGCAGATGGTTAATAGCAATGCTAGTGACTGTGTATTATTTGATTGTTCGCTGAATGTGACTGATTTTTGTTATGAACACACGCTCTTCCCACAGTTGCAGCTTCTACTGGTTCTGTCAAGCAATTAAAATCTCATGTGTACAGAAACCTATTGTCTCATGAAAATCTTTGTTTTTACATTGCTCTCTTGCTTTTTTGGAACCATGTACTCAGGTTCCTGTCCAACCCAGCATTGCTCCACATGGATAGATCTCCAAATACCAAAGCTTCCCGGTGGAGCAAATACTCATGCTGCTTCCTCAAACTTCCACAGGAATTTCCCATTGGCGTCAGGGCCCTGAGCACATCCCTGCTGTGGGAGGGCTGGCTCCTGTGGCTCAGGGAGCTGCGGGCTGTCCCCTTCCTTCCTTTGGTGGCTGAGGACAGGGCACCTGCAGGTCTCACCATGGGGGAGCCACAGCGGGACCAGCCTCGGCTGTGGGAGCTGCTCTCGAGCTGAACCTCTGCCCTTCGGCCCCCACCTGACTCAGAGATCCCCACCTTCTGAGGACACTCATCTACTAATTGTTTTTATGGTGTGGCTGATGATACCAAAGTTTCAATTTTTTATTTTGGTGTAACTTTTCCTCTTGGAGTAGTCTTATACCATACATAATTACTATGTTTTACTTATTGAATTCCTGCCTTATTTGCCAGCATGCTGTTTTTCTTCAGAGCCACTAATTTATTTTTAAAACATTTGGTAGCATTTATGATTAGTTTTTTTCCATCGTGAAGTACAGTTTCCTGTGAAATACAGTTTCCTTTTTGATCGTTAACTGTTTGGAAGTTGTTGTTGTTGCTTTAATCTTTATTTTATTTTATTTTTTAAATGTTGTTGTATCATTTGTTAAGACAGAAGGCTTAACATGGCTTCCAGAATGAGGTAATCATTGTTTAGAAATAAAATTAGATCCTTGGTTTATTTTGGAAATGATCAGCTGTCATAGATTCATGGATTCTAGAGGACGGCATCACTGAGTTCAGTTTATTGAAGCAGAAATGACAGAATGTCAATTAGCTGTTCCATTACGTGTCATATGAACAAAAGCGAGGCCAAAGTGAATTTATTTTTATATCAGCTGTACAGATCACTTTTTATCTGTTTACAAGTAAAAGAAAAATAAACTTGTGTGTGTGTGTGTAAGCATTTTCCTTGGATTTGCTTGTCTATAAGCATCAGAATGTCTGTAATATGTAGTACAGGCAACCTCAACTCTTGAAAAGCAGTGGTGAGACAACAAAAATAATGCCTCAGCTCCCCAAATTAACATGTTGGTTTTTAGTCCATTCTGTACACTGCTGGTGTATGTCTGGTAACTTAAAAAGCTGCAAACTGTCCAACACTTGTAGTAAGGCAGTGAAATTCGGCTTCTGCCACTGAACCTCCTTCTGGGACACCACCATGATCTGGGACCCGAAGTGGTGGGCACCTCAGTTCACAGAAGGCAGGAGACAGAACTTGCCCTAGGCAAGAAGGAAACACAACAGCAAGTTTGTGAGGGGCAAGGTGGAGCAAGGCACACTTACATCATGGTGTCAGAACTGACATCAGATACTCACTTAGTGAGCACAGAGATAATTCTTCACAATCCAAACCACAGGAGGCAGCTACGTATTTACTTTGCTGAAATCTTTTTGTTATATATGTACCAGAAGAAAAAGGACATGCATCCAGATTTGAGGTGCTCATTCCTGGCCAAGGAAGCATTGGTCTGGTTGTTCCACATACCATAGGCAGTTCTCGACTGCTTCATCTCTCAGAG